AAGAAAAGTGCAGAAACATGGAGAATCTGAGGAGAGTTGGAAGAGTTAGAGTTTTTGAAAATATTAGAGGAAGAACAGGAAAGGTCGTGAGATCACTGAGATGATGAGTTGTGGGGTGGGGCATTAGGAGTCTGGGATTTTTTTGGCTTCTTGAAGATGGTGAGCCGAGAGAAGTAACCAATTAGGTAAAATTAGCTATTTATTAGGGATTTAGATGAGATTGAGATTTGAAAATTAGGAAATAAAATATATAAATAATAAATTAAAAAATATTTACTTTTCAGATAGGTAAACGGGTCAAGCCCGTTAACCCGTTGGATCAACCCGTTATTGACCCATTACCCGTCGAGTTCTATTAACAGGTTATTAACGGGTCACGGGTCATGAACATCTGACCCTAACCCGTTTTAAACGAGTTGGTAACGAGCAGGTTAACGGGTTGGGTAAAAAATTGCCAGGTCTATTTTCCATGGCTACAGCCATATAATTCTAACAAATTGCAATATCGTTTAGGCCCTTGTTTGTTTGTTGGATATTCTTCTGCAAATATAAGTTATAAATGCCTTGATCTTTCTACTAAAAAATTGTTTTATTTTCGACATGTTTTTCAAGAACAAATGTATGGATGTATTCAAATCATGATGAAACACCAGAATCTCTTACAAGATGAAAAAATGGACTCACACTCACCAATACTGGTGAACACAAAGTGAACCCAAATCCTCCGTGGTGGAGAAGCTCCTGATAGCATTGATGACGGATTTATAGGAAGAAAGATTAATTTCATGCTCGAGCGAAAATATTAGTCGCATTTGAAAAAAGAGAAATTTGAAGGAAGAGAAAGCGGAAGAAAATGACTCCCAGGACTAAAATTTCAGCCTTGTTGGGACCTACTTTATATAAAACGGTGAGTTTTACATTTATTTGCTCCTTCTTCCTCAACAGTAAACTCTACTCATCTTAACACAACACGAAAGAACCGAAATCCTCTTTTCACTTGCTAATCGAAAAGGTCAGGACTGCATTACCAAAATCCTTTCTCCTCCTCACTCAATCCATAACCAAGGGTCTGATCAAATCTTTCTCCATGTCCATTGACTACCCTGTAGATTTTTCCTTTTTCAAATTTCCTTGAAAAATATAAATTTTCATTTTCGTTTCCATTTCAAGTGGGTGCTTGTGAAGGGGTCAGAGAATTTGGCATGATCAATTCATCAACCCCTTCAGAAGCCCCTACCTCATTTCTCACACTTTGATTTCAGTTTATGTTTCTCTCTTTTCTCCAAAATCCCTGGGTACCCACTTGATTTCCATTAGTGGGCACTTGTTTTCTTGATTTATGGCTTCAAATATCAAGTAAAAGCATATAAGATTGATCTAGGTATTTAGTGGTTTGAAATTATTTTTATTTAATAATATTAAATTTTTTATAATTCACAAAATAATTAAATCTATTCATTCAATATAAAAAAATTTATTTATATAATTTATATTAATAAAATTTTCAATTTAATAATTAATTTTTAAAACCTTCCACAGCGAGTAATTTCTTTAACTCGAGACAGCAAATATCAGACAGCTAGCTCGAGCAAAAAAATTAATCACAAATTTTTTAAACTTGGTGGAGTGATGGTTGGGTAGTGGAGGGTAAAAGTGGAAAGAGGGTATTAATGGACGTTGAATTTCGCAAAACCACTTATAAAACGGAACAAAATCTCCTCCATAAAACGTCTAATATAATGGAACAAAGGGAGTATTTCGTTGGTCCTAATTACAAAAATTATAAAGTAATGTCAGGGCAACAACAGAACAACATTGTTTTGATCAATTAGGTTGTACTAGCTAACTACGATTCGTAATCTAATGATAAAGGCTCAATGATGTGATATTTTAATTTTAATTTTAATTATTAACATTAATA